AATGGCCTTTCACTGATACTCACGAATCCCTTGTCATCCTTCACTACCAACAGAACCGGAGTGTCGACTTCTCGGAGCCGATAATAGAGTGTCTTGAGACTCATACCATGTTGAAATGTACTATAGGCTAATACCCAGGTGCATGATGGGACATGATCGGATAGCTGAAAAATCAAACAGTAAAATAAAACCGGGTGAGATATAAATAAATTGAAATATTTAGAGACGACGCCACATCAGCCTGGTCGAATTGGCATTTGGAGATGTTGGGCCGAGTTTGTGAAGGGAGGAAAACCAGAGAACCCGGAGAAAAACCCTCGAAGCAAATACGATAGCAAACAACAAACTCAACCCACATATGGCCCGGGCCGGAATCGAACTCGGGCCACATTGGTGGGAGGCCAGCGCTCTCACCACTACGTCATCCTTGCTCCTCGAGTATTTGAGTACGTAATCTGTGAACAGGTTTCTTGGCAAGTAACACGGTGATTAGAGACCCAATACAATCCAATTAAAAGCACAACAAACACATTAAACTTAGAGAGGAGCAAAGGAATTTTCTTGAGCTGTGTCGGGGCTAAAATGGTTTCAGTGCCTTCCGGTGGAAAAGAAAAGACATTTCTTAATATATTCAACGATGAGAAATAAATTCAGCCTGTTACTTCATCGATGGGAGGGGCGGTCGTCTCCGGATCGAGCGGTCCGGGTTCGAGCCCTGACCGGGGACATTGCGTTCTGTTCTTGGGCAAGACACTTTACTCTCACACTGCCTTTCTCCACCCAGGTGTATAAATGGGTATCGGCGAACTTAATGCTGGGGGTAACCCCCTCGATGGACTAGTATCCCATCCAGTGGGGAGCAGAAATACTCCTAGCCGTTTCATGCCACGTAAACCGGGATAAGCTCCAGCCTGATGGGCCACTTGGCTCGTATACAGACTTTACCTTTTACCTTACCTTATCAATGTCTTCTTCTGAAAGAAGGTGGGATTCTTCATTGAGAGATTGATACGCAGCATACGAAATAGACCTACCAAACAACAGAGGAATAATACAATAAGAAAAATAAATCAAAGTGGCTGTGAGCCACTGAACTTGGAAAATAAATTATGAAAGGGTGTTATGAGGCATTGCTCATTAAGGAACTACTCGAGATGTGAGGGCAGCCTAGTTTTCGAACAAGCCCATAAAGCTCTTTTTCCATTCAGAGGTGTGTTGTGATATTTGCAAAATGAAAACGTTCAACGTTAAGAAACTGTTTGTTACTCAGGCCTGCCTACACGTTTTACATTACATGCATCTGTACATGTCTTCCTTGTGCTGTAGTCAGAAACGGCAAGATCATTTTGTTTGGTCTAAAGTGAGTTATAGACTGAGCGAAACACTTGAGCCTGTGGTACGTAAATAAAAGATTAATACTTTCGCCCTTTGGCAGCTTACGTTCGTATACAAGTAGCGCAGAGAGATAAGCGCTGGCTCGCCATGCGAGACATTGGGAGATCGAATCCCATTGGTAACTATGAATTACTTTTCCTTTTCTTCATTATTTTTTTCTTTTTCTGTTAGGAAACTATTTACCGAAAGGTAGCGTTTGTCTTTCCGTTTCTTGTGTTACATGTAAAAAATTCGTCTGGAGCCTTTATTATTCGTTTATATCGATTGCTTTCGAACTCACAATATCACGTAAGTTTGCGAAGGAAAAACCAGGAAGACTTTCCCCGAATGGAATCGCCAAGGAAGAACCATAAGTATTTTCCTTACGATGAAGAATCGTTATACCTTCTACCTCTCGAAAATAACTAACTTGACACGCTTCAAGCGACTGTAAAACGGCCTTAGACGGCTGATGTTCGAAACNTTTAATTTCTGTTTTCAGGCTTGATTTCCGCTGATCTCTCGAGTACGCGAGTCGGGTCTACAAGTGCGCGCGGGATCCTTTCTTGAACAGTGGCTAGTGCTCGAACCTATTTCGTTTTAACTGGTATCTTTTAGGGGTCTAATGAAGTTCAAGCAACGTCCACATTAGTCTCCATTAGGAATTAAATTCAAATTTTCCGACGAGCATCTCTTGCCTTTTCATATGGGAGTTTACCCCCGGGTTTCCAATTGTCTAACGGGACCTGAAGGAGTGAAGGATTGATCGAGTGAAATCGTTCCACCACTACAACTTGGAAAATAATAAATATTTTCCAAGTTAGAAACCGCTTGTGAGAAAAACGCTAGCCGCTAACCAAGTTGAAATATTTTTTACATAGGAATGATGGGCTCCTGTTTTTACATGTATCTTCTCCATGGGCATAGTGGTGATGAGCTTTACCTGTGACGGACGAAGCTTAACCTCGTCCTACGAACCTCATGTTACTACAATCACTTGGTCAGTCATTCACTTTTTTTTACTAAACTCTCTAACGCAACCACTTACAATTAACAGGACCACAATAAAAAACAAACAAAGAAAGAAACAAAGCGCAAAAAGGTGGTCTTATTAATTGGTCCAAAGTACGATCGATTTTCTTATTTNCAATGTCTAGGAAATCGTTGGTATTTTACCGAACTTTAAATAGAAATACAAAAATTCGTCACCGTTTACTTTAGCATTACAAAAAGAATGACAATTTGTGAAAAAAAAATTCATTATACCAAATAATTCCTTAAGATCTTTACCAAAAAGAATGACAATTTGTAAAACAATTCTCATTGTACTAAATAATTCCTAAAGGCAAATTCTTTAAAGACCTCTTGAGGTAGCTATTCAGTTCATAGTATAACCAGGAAACTGCAAGGTTCATTTATCCCCCTGGCTCGACTTTAAGCACATATCTTTTCCCTAAGTTATCGTAATTTTCTTTGCAAACGTGTTTTAAGTATCTAGAGAAAATAAAGCATTGTTGTTGTTGTAACTGAGCCAAGTATTTTACTGCCAAAAAACTGATTTTAGCGAGTTTTCGGAGACTCGTAAAATTAATTGTCCCAGTAATTTTTATTCACCAAGAGTACCTTTTAGACCTCAGTTTGTCGAGTCTCTTCATTTAGTCTCTTTTCTTGTTCTTAAAACGAATCAAATCTTTAAAAAAAAGTTGCCTGCTTTATAATACAATGTTGTGCAAATCGAAACATTTTACAATCATACCAAATATCATAGCGATTAACACGTCGTAGCATTTTGTGATACCACAGGCCACTCTGATGTGGACAATTCTACCAAACAAGCAGAACAAGTGATGTCAGTATTATGCTGACCAGAAAAAACTTCTCCGCAAATTTTATATTATTTTAGAAAATCTTATTTTCATTGAAAACTTTCAATTTAAATGTAGGATTTCTCTCCAGGTTTCCTTGACATCGAAGAAGGTGAGCTGGTTAACTCCTGAAAACAAACAAACAAACAAACAAACCAACAAACAAACTGTTAAGTTGATATTAATTTGATTCGTTATCTATCCAATTTTCTAGTCCTTATTAAGTCTGGTAACCTGGTTGTTTTAAAAACACAAACAATTAAGCAGCCAAACAACTTTACTAACAAAAGCCAAAATTCTAGAGCTGTTAAATGGCCAACTGCATAATATGGAAATTAAAGACAACTTAGGCCCACACCACGCCGGGGAAATTTGAAAACGGAGCTTTATTTGTACGGTTAGGCCTACCGTCCACACTAATCCATCACGATAACGGAGCTTTTCGAAAACGATGACGTCACGATAATCACGTGATTTCCCTGCCCGAGTTTCCCTCAAACACAAATCCAAAATGACCGCTGATTGTTGCGTTTTCAAATTTCTACGGCGTAGAGTCGTAGTGTGGACGAAAAACATTTGATGCATTTTTTTCAAAGTGCAAACACCGTTTTCAAATTTTTCCGGTGCGGTGTGGACGGGGCTTTACTAGTTCCAGAGGAACAGGAATTCACGCTGACTACTCAAGTAAATAGACTTAATAATTTAAAAAGCAGCAAGAACAGTCTTTTAATATTCCATACCTCAACTTTTGATCGTTCGTTTGGTGGCCTGTCCTAGCTCCACCGTTCTGACACGCTGAGCAAAATTCAAGCTGCAGACTGTCTCAGCAACATTCTTTTCCACAGGTGCTACTTGCACAACCATAAGAGTCTTAGAGTCACCTCCTGTACATGACATTATATAATAAGTCAAACTATTCTCGCGTTTTGATTGGTTCTAACTTATGATCAATTAGAAATCAGACGCACAGATGACGTCAATTTCCTTTTGACATTCGTTCTTTGCAACTGAGTTTGCCTCAGCACTTTGTAATTGGATCTGTCGTTCTTGTTCATTCTCTGTTTTTATTCCTTTAGTAGTATTTTAGGAAGGTTTACGTGAAGGAAAAAAAAACCCAGCAGATCTATTGTAAACCCATGCTCCTCTCCGTCAGACTGAGAGGTGAAGCATGAGCTCCACCGCGTTGGGTGACGTCATATTCTTGTGGCTGAACACCATCTCCCGGATTAACCAAAGAAAAATGACTTGAAATGACCCTAAACTCTGTAGGTAAAATTTCTTTATAAACCTCGCTTTACAAGAGCCTTTTTAGAAGAATATTATATACTCTTT